TCCAAGGTCAACATTTACATTAAATATCCCTGAAGCTTCAAGCACGAAGGGCAGCAGTCGGTCCCAGCTACAGAGGACTCTTCCTCCTTCTCACCATGCTCATGGCACCCTTGTAGTAGCATATTACCTTTCTTTTCTTGGGATTTGTTCTTAACAGATTTATTCTTACAAATTCAAGATTCTTGGAATTTGTTCTTTATTTTTACATGCTTAAAACATCATTGGAGTTTTGGGTGTGCTTTCTATACTGTGTCTTTGCAGGGTGGTGTCTGGTTTCATACTAGGTCTTATTTATTCTGGTCAGCAAAAAAGACAGCTCTCTAATGCCCTGGAACTTTTCCTGCTGCTGTTAGGAAAAGCAAGTGGCTAGTTGCACTGTGAGGGCAGGACCAAAGATCGGGCGAAGCTAGTACTGGAGTGAGCTCTGCCCTTCCCCCACTGGGAGCAGTGCCCCTCTCTATCAGCATGGGAAAGACGGAGTAAGCGCTTCTGTGAGGCCATATGCTAATATGGTGCTGATAAGTGAGTGTGGAAAATGAAAGGGAGAAATGCCTTCATTGTATTCTCTCAAAAGGTATACTGTACAAGGTAATTATTTCATGACAGTTTTAGTTGTAGCACTTGTTTTATCATGAAATAAAAGATGGTTTTAGGAGCCTTTTATTGGAAAGACAATTGTATCAAATTAGTACAAATTAGATTTTTGTCTTTACAAAGGTGAGCAAACCCATGAGCAGTTTTTAAATTGATGTGTTCTAGTCTACAAATGAACAAATTCTGTTTGAGGGTTAAAGAAGCTATTATTTTGTCCTTTATGCTGACAGCTTCATTACAGATTGGCCTACTGTTGGCATTTAAAAAAAATGTTTGGCTCCTTACGATCTTTGTGCATGCAACTATAATATTAATGCAGCACCGTAGCACTGTTCATTAAGAAATGACTTTAAATGAGGTTGAAGCGTGTAAATTTGGAAAGATACAGATGTTAAATGCAGTCGTTTCTCTTTGTGTACAGCTGTATGGCTAATAATTTCCAAGTGGCTAAAGCTCTTGTTAGCAGGGGTGCTGGTGTGTTAAGAATGGCTCTATAAATAACTTTAAGAACTGAAGTTGAAGGTGCTTCTTTTAAAGACTATTGTTAACTAAACATTATTGCCAAACAGATGGAAAGCATTCACCAGCCTGATGTTTTTAGGTCTAATTATATTATCGCTAGCCCTGTACGGCTCAGTTGAAGAGGTGTATCCAGAGGCCAATTTATAATCATTTAGCCAACACCTGTTTGGGAGAAATTGACAGTCAAAGGGCACATTTTAAAAAAATCACATATGTTCTTGTGTTTATTGCCTCAATGTGAACGGTGTCTAGTTGCAAACAAACTTGGTAGAAGAAAGTAAATGTAAACAACACAGCACTTTCCAGCCCTGCTTATCCATCTTAATTTGGCCATTTTATCTAATCTGCTTCATGCTTCATGACTAAGTGAGGCCAGCAAAGAGGTATTATTCCTGAGTTATGCCGGTGTATTCTGTTCAGTCAGTGGAGAGGCTTCATTTCCTCATACAGCTTCGGTGCCTTGTGCCGAGTGACGTGCTTCCTACTTAGAGCTTTTCTTAGTCAGGTACCACTGGTTTTCTGGTGAGTGATCTAAAAGAGTCACAACTTGACATAAAAATAAATGAGATTTGAGGAGCACTAAATACCATCCCAGATTCAACAGGTGCTGTTTGAGCCTGCCTCTGTACAGAGGAGGCTGAAAGGCCTCTATTTGCATTCATGATATAAGTCCACTGATGCATCCCTGTGCCGCGGAGGCTTAAGGTTTATGGTGAGTCTAGCTCATTGGGCAGATCACGAGAGAATAGGTCTGTCCTTCTGCAGTAATAAAAATCCAAACCTTTCTTTGGACAGATGATCTCACTAATACTTTAATTATAGCATTTTTCCTTCTGTCTTTCCTTCACAACTGAAAGGTTTTTATGTAGAATCCCTATTTCTTTTTGCCCCTTATTAATTTTGGGCAGGCTAGCTTCTGTCTTCCACATTCACTCCTAAGGCAGTACTGCCCGGGACGTCTCACCTTCAGCAGCCATTTCCCAGCCCTTGGGCTGCGTGTTTTCTTTTAGGGGTTTGCACAGATGTGACTCGTAAGTGTTTTTTTTCTCCAGATTCAGATTCACTATGTTTTCTTTGTATTTTTCTCATTACACTTTAGGCTGTTCTCTTACCCACCCACAATATTTCAACTATGTATAACTTTCAGTGTTCAAACATAAGTAATAGGTCATACTGTTTTTGTACAGCGTAGCTGCAACTAAAGAGGAAGGATTCTGGGGCCAGATTGCCTGTGTTTGAATTTACTTCTACCACTTCTTAGCCTTATGAGCAGGGTAAATTAAGTTTCATGCAACATTGGAATAAAAGAGACCTACCTGTTTGGTTATTGAGAGCATTATGCGGTTTAGGTTTTCAGAGCCAGCACAGTGCCTTGGAATAAAGGAATGGTGCCAGCGGGCACACTCTTGTGCCTTCATCTTTTGTCCTGTGGACTAAGGCTTAGCCCTGCCTTAGTCTTCTCTAAGTTCCATTCCCATATTGCTTCTAAGCTTTTGAGAGACCTGAATTCACTTACTACATATTTCTGAGCATTAACTATGTCTAAACAAAGCATAATGTGATGCAAGAAATAGTGCTTCTGCTCCCCTGCTTTCCTAACAAATCATTGCCAAGTTAGCAGACTCAAACAGCCCAGCGTGTTATCTGAAAGTTCTGTATACCAGAAATGGGCTACAGGCTTCACTGGACTACAGTCAAGGTGTAAGCTGTGTTGCGTGCCTGAGTGGAGTCTCTGGAAAATCTGCTTCTGAGCTCCTCTGAGGTGTTGGCCGAATGCTCTTTCTCTAGTTGTGGGTCTGAACTCAGTTTCCCTGCTGGCTGTCCACTGAGGGCTGGCCTTTCCTGCTAGAAGTTCCTGGGGTTCTTTTTTGGGTTTGCTCTGAGTTCCGAGACACTTCCCTTTGGGTTCTTGCTTTTGGGTGTCTAGATTCAGAGCCAACAATCACACAGCCTTCTTATACTCTGATCTCTGATTTACCTTCCTGCCTTCTTCTGGCAGGAGACCCTTTTCTGCTCGTAGAGGTGGATGTGATCCAATAGCACCTATCAAGGTGATCCTGGGTAACTTCCTGTAATCTTCTGATTACACCTGCAGAGTCCTTGAAGCATATCTGTGAAGAGCTTGAAGTCAGGTTGGGGATACATGTGTGAAAAATAAGCCAATTTAGAGAGCTAGAGATGCCATCAAAGAAGTCAGCTCTATGCTAAGTAGGAGAATAAAGGAAGAAAGCTGCTAGTGCTGGAGACAGAGGGACATTTGCTGGGAATGTGGAGAGATGAGTATTTGTCACTAAGTGGCAGGGGGGAGGTTCAGAGAGAAGCAAGGTGACAGAGATAACAATAGTAACCACTGGCTGTACTTCGCTACAACTACCTCACTAAATCCTCACAAATGGTGCATAATAGTATCTGCTATTATAGCTTCTACACTTTATGAAGCTACAATGTCTTCAGTGTATACAATAGGAATGATAAAGTTGTGTTGTGGAAGGGATTAACATCATTGGTTAACATCATTACACATTAACATGGTTAACATGTAGCACATAGTAGTAGGTGCTTACAGTGTGACAGGTGAAAGTAGAGCATGGTTAAGAGAGTTGCGTGTGAGGAGACTTGGTCACTGGCCCTGAAAATAGGAGATGGCGACCTCAAAGTGACTCAGTTTAGGACTTGTATGGAGGGTGGGTTTACTCAGTACCGGGGGAGGAGGAACAGGGTTTTGTGGCTGCCTTTGTGCTACAAAGGCAGACCTGAAAAGCAGCAGGGGAGACTGACTGGGCCTACAGGACTCAAGTGTCTGCCATCTGGCCCTTTGAGAAAAGTTTGCCAGCCTTGGCCACAGTGTGTAGAAATAATGAAAAGGATATGTGGTAGTGTGATTTCTTGCCTCTGTTCACTCTTAGCCATCAAGCTGGGGGTGTGTGACAGTTCAAGGGGGGGGCAGAATGTGAGATTATGAAAGGTCTTGAAGTCATTTTGTGGAGTTAGAGTTTTCCTCTCAGAGGAGCTGTGTGATCCAATTTATGTCTGAAAAAGAAAACCTTGGCTTCTATTTTGAGATGACGCTACAAGGCCCCAAAGACAGAAGCCAGAGGTCAGTTGGAAAGCCAGTGCTACTGGTGAGTGAAGACTTGGTCTCTGCGTGGGGTGCTGAATTCATTCTGGATACATCCTTGGGATAGAGCTGATGGGATTTGCTGATAGTAAGAAGAGGAGTTGGGGACAGTCCAGGCCAGAGAAATAGTACCATACAGGTGTCGAGGCAGTGCTAAGAGCTATAATTCCTAAGACCACTGGGTATCAAGTGGCTACATAGGAGGTTTCAAGAAGAATGTTGAGACTTGAGCTATTTTTAAAAACTGCTTCCTCCTTATCTTGTATGTTCCATGAAGAAAAAATTCTTTAGCATGTTTCCACCTGCTTGAGTCACTGGATGTACATTTATGACTGACACATCAGGTGGATGTGCCACTGTGTGGAACTGTCCCGTGCTTCCTGATGGGATAGTCATGCATATACCACGGGTGGTATATCTCGCCTGGCAGCGAGACATATGAATTACAGCCCTATTGTGAGCATGTTATATTTTCTCTATGTTTAAGAAATGCCAAAAATATGGCTCCTTTAGAAAAAGAAATCATAATGAAGTCTTTGTTTTTTGTACCAGAAATCAAACTCAGGACCTGGCTTGTCAGGCAGTTGCTTACATGCCGTCTGTTATGGATGAGACTTTTGATCCTATGAGTTCTGACTCTTAAAAAAATCTATTGAAAAATTAATAATTTGGGGGTATTCAATTATACTTCCCCCACAGACTCTTCATTTTCAGAAGTTGTTAATTTTTTATTATGATTAAATTATTACTCATGTCTTTTATGTAGGTTTTACTTGTTATGGACACAAGGACAGAACAGACATTCATCTTAAAAGTAAGTAGGATTTGCATATTTAATGAATTGTAAAATTTATGTTCAAATTATACTTTTGAAAGGAAAGAAATTTAATTTTTTTGCATGGGTGCTTGACTTCTTTTGTTTATGGTGAACTTTTTTTTAGTCTTTTTATCACAGTTAATATAAGTGCTGTGGCATACATTTAAAAATAGTTTTATGCTATAGAATGTGGAGGAAATAATTTGGATAAATGAAAGATCATTTTTTGTAGTTTACATCTCAAATGCATTTCATACAATTTGTGAAGCTCACACACACTCTTGATTATGATTGCATTTCTTTTTTTTAAATTTTATTTATTTATTTGTGTGTGTGTGTGTGTGTGTGTGTGTGTGTGTGTGTGTGTGTATGTGGCCAGCTCAGTCCACCAGGGGGCGGGGCTGGCTGGCATGTGGTGCTGGAGGATTGAACCACCGTCGCTGTGCTCTGCTAAGCTTATTCTAAGTAGGTGTTTTAGACCACTGATCCATCTCACCAGCCCCTATGATTGCATGTCTTAAGAACTGAAATTTTGTTACAGGTGTTGGGGAAAACATTTTCTGTATCTCTGGTCCTCTTCTGATCTAAATTCAACTTGATTCAATATATACAGTAGTTTAATTTATAACTAAATGAATAAGATAAACTCTGAATTTTATACTGTTGAAATTGTTTTTGGAATGAATTGTGATAGCACGTATCCTAAAATATCCTAACTTAAAACATCTCCGTAGTATCCAGAAGGTGATTAATTTTGTTTGTTTGGTTTTTTTTTTTTTTTTTTTTTTTTTTTTTTTTGCCAATAAGGCATGGCAGTGGGTCACATTGACATATACCAAAACACTTTTCTTATTAGTATTACATTCTATCATTGATAGTTTGCTGTTTTTAAAATATAGAGTAACCCCAGAAAACACACACACCTTTTTCTTTTGGAGGAGACTGTCATAATCTTTGTTCTATTTTGAAATAGAATTTAAATGTGCTGGTTTAATCTAGGAATATCTTTTATGTCTGGAATTTGAACATGTCTCCTGCTTTAAAAGATGTACATAAGTAAAATAAAACTTAAAAGGTCATAGAGAAATAACTGCATGTCATCCTGATGACTTAGTTTGAGAGCATCTCTAATAAAAACACTGACCCACGTAATTGATTTTAATGGCAGCTTTGTGGCATCTTCCGTTCTCTGGATTCGGGCCAGATGCCATCAGCGCAGCCTCCAGGGACTGAGGGGCATAGAGCAGCAGATGAGTGGTTTCTCTGAAGCCTGGAGTAACTCGGATAGATTAGTTTGGTTGATAAACACAGAGCACAGCAGGCTCCAAAGGCAGCTGAGGGTACAACTGACCTTTTTGTTCTCTGTCAGGGTCTGAGGAAAAGCAGCGAGTCCAGCAGGAACAGAAAGACCATCATCCCCCGCTGCGTGCCCAACATGGTGTGTCTGCACAAGTACATCGTCTCAGAGGAGTCAGTGTTCCTGGTGCTGCAGCATGCCGAAGGTCGGTGCGCTCCTGTCGCTTCTGCCCTGGATGGTAGCACCTGCTGGCTTGGTTGCTCTAGCGTCCTCCTTACCCGTCATTTCCCAGGCAGACAGAATATGTGAACCCCACTAAGAAACTGTTGTTCGCTCCTCTGCCTATCTCCCTACTTTGGGTTTTGAGGGAAATAAAAAGCCAGGCAAAGGGCAGAGTTCACAGGATGAGCATATATGCCCTTCCTTACCCTGCTCATAGAGTTAGCTCTGTGTGACTGCGTGTTAAGAAAGTTGTATTGTAAGGGTTTTATTTTGTTCTCTTGTCTCTACTAAGAAGACACATTTGTGTTAGATGACTAAAAGAAGAACATCCCCCTGAAGAGTTAATTAGTCATCTCTTTTTTATAGAAGGCAAGGTATTTGCTTAACAGTTGACATTACTTGGCTATTCTGATCTGAGTCTTTATGAATACAGCCATTGGCATCACATATGGGTACAAAGCAGAGGCACAGGGCTCTACTTTGCCTTCAGACTGTGAAATTTCAGCTCTGAGTAGAGGGAACAGGTGGCAAAAAATTATTATGTTTTGATTTGGCTTTGCCTATTAACACATGAATTTAAATAGTCTTATTTAGAATGGCTAAATACAGCACATAAATAGAAAGTCACTATATACACACATGCACACATATATTGTTTCTTTTTTTTTTTGCTTTTAAAAATAGTATTCTTAAAATAGTAAGAAAAATGACTTAGTATATTTCATGATGGTTTTACTGTTTTTATGTGATTGACTGGGAATGAAGAACTTTTGTGCTTTCCCAATAGGCATAATGTCTGAATTTAATGCATTTTCTCAGGAAAAGAAGTCACTGTTTTCTGGAATGAGGTCTTATGATAACTAATGCAAGATTTTTGATGGGGCAATAAACTATTAATATTGTTTATTGTGAAGTACAGCACAAGATAACCACAGATGGAGGGAAGACCTCCATATGCAGTATTTAATAGGAAATTCAGAAGGGGCTCTGTGGTCTCACAGGTATTAAGAGAGTTAATTGCGTGTGTGAATTGGATAACTAATTCACCTTTGTTCAGACATTATAGACAGCTTTTATCTGAGGATACCAGTGCATTACAGACATTATTGAATTAGAGGTCATGTCATCTGATAGCGAAATACAGCCACCTCTGGTGTGGAACAAAATAACTTGCGTAGTAATAATCCATAATAATTTAGAACAAGGTCAGTAGGATGAATGTAATTATAGTCAATAGTGTATTACCCAGGGTGGATTATTCATGATGGAGATTATCTGGCAGATTTTCAATCCTAGCTTGCCTCTGTTGTTTGCTGCTCTACCTTCCTCTTTCTCCTCTTCCTTTTCCAAATCACACTTCTATTTTCCTTCTGCCATCTTCTGATCTCCCTTTATACCTCCCATAGCTAATAACCTCAGCTGACTTTCATGTGATAGAACAGCTTTATATTGTCTTTATGTCATAGACATAGGACTTTCAAGTTTGCCTCTGTTTTAGATCATCTTTGCCAAGTATCTTTCCCTTTACCATTTCTGACTTTGAGTGACTACAGTTTGAACTTGGCAAGGTTGCCTCTTTAGACTTTCTTTAGGTGAGCTATTATTTAATTTTAAGAAGTTTCATTAATATTAAGATAGTAGTTTATAGTGCAAATAGGAACTCTCATTACATTTATTATTCAATAAACTTGCTGAACTTCTACTCTTTTAGGTTAATAAGCCAGGAAAAGAGCCCACCCTTTTGAAATTTAAATTATTTTTCTGGAGATCAAATAGAAAAATAAAACAGTAGAGGGGTGTATACTCATAGGTATTACCCTGGACTTTAACCTGAGGAAATACAAGAGACAACAGTGAGAGGCCACTTTAGATTACATCATATAGGCTCTCTGAGGAAGTGACAGTTAAAAAGTTCTGAGTGGCAAGAGAAACAACCACTTGAATGTAAGGTCCAGTCCAGGGAGAAGAGTGGAAACAAACTTGTAAGATTTGATGAACCAGAAAGGAGACTGCTTGCCTGAAATGTGGGAGGGAAGGCACTGTTGCTCTGCAGTGGCTGGGAAGCCAGCAGAGCCTTGGGCAGCAGGGTGAACCCTTGGGCCAGACTTTGGCCAGGGACAGTGGGAAGCCACTGGATGTGTTAGGCAGCGACGGAATCTGATGTGCAGTTTGAAAGGTTGCTCTGGTGTTGTGTGTGGTGTGTGGGTCATGGATGGTGATGGTCTGGCCTTTTGCGGTCCTAGTGCAGAGGTCCTGGGGGTAGCTTTAGTTAGCTGTGTGGTGCTCAAGATCAGGGGGAGAAGAATCTGTGCTCATTTCCCTGACTTGTGTGCATGGTAGAAGGAACTGGATGCTAAATAGGTCGTTACCTTTGTCGATCAGTGCCTGCTAGGAGGATCATGGGCTAGGGCTTTTGCATAGGTCATAAAAAAGCCACTTTTGTATATATAAATATTTATTACTTAAAAAGTAAGCTTGAACAGTTGTTTTCTCCATAATATAGATGCATGAATATTTATGATTTGTATCTTTAGTTACTACTGCTTACAGAAATAGTTTTTATTTACAGGAGTCTCATAGACTTATTTTTTTTTTTTTTCTATTTTTGATCTGTTCAGTTAGAAATTCATTGAGAGCTTACTGGGGCGCAGGCATAGTTCTGACTTGGAGGGCACAAAACAGAAGGTCTTGCTCATGTGGAAGTTATGTTGAATGATAGAGGAGGAGCAAACACAAGACCTTATCCATAGGCATTGTGGTGAAAAATATAGAAAAGAGGAAAGAAACGCTGGAGGGGCAGGGGTTTGGTTTTCTGTGTAAGATGGTGGCCTCACTGGCCGAGGTACACCCCCGTGGTCATAAAGGGCACTGGCAGAACTGGCCTTATGCTCTGCATGAGATAGGAAGCCCCAGCAAGTGCCGAGCAATGGAGCGACAGCGTGAGGATCCCTGTGTCGTGGGGAAAAGCAGAAGGTAGGCAGCCAAAGGCAGCAGCAGGGAGACCAGCTTGGAAGTTGTCGTGAAAATGATAGTGCTTGGACGCTGTGTTTGTATTCGCCCATTTTCTAGTGGTGCAACAAAATGCTGGAGGCTGAGTAAAGAAGAGAGGTTTATTTAGCTTACAGCTGTGGAGGTTCCAGGCCGTAGTGCCATAGTCTGCTCAGTTCTAATGAGCACCTTGTGCTGACTGGCGTCATAGAAGTTTTCTCTGTGTAAACATACACTCCCTACTCTTTGCTTTTCTTAATGTTGAGTGGTTCTTCTATACTGCTGTATTGCATTAGCTCATCTTGGCAGTGTGCTCTGGGCACCTCTCCTTAGGAGTTTCTATACGTCTGTCTTCAGGGAGGCAGGATTGTGGAGTTTAAGAAGGCTTGTGGGCCAGGCCCTGGGAGCACAAATGCTGCTTTGCTATTGCTAGTTGTGAGACCTTGGGCAAGTTACTTAATCTTTCTGTGATTCTCTTTCCTTGCTGTAAAATAGGATGTAATAATTAGCTACTTCATTGGGTTGGTATGCAGATTTAATAGTTGGTAAATAAAAAGCACTTAGAGTAGTACTTGGCATGTGGTGAGTGCTATGCATTTGCAAATATTGCTATTTTTGCCCCATCCAAAATATAGATCCCCCCCAAAAAAAGAACAAGTAAGACCCCTCCATTGAGATTTTGGGCAGGGCTCTGTATATTTTTATTTTGTTTCTTATTTTTTTGAATTATTTGTAGGACAGATTCTTTTTTTTTAAAATTTTATTTTATTGAGAAACAAATATCAATGAGACAGTTTCAGGACTGATTAATAGGACAGTTTCAATAATTAATACATTGTACATTGTTATCTTCTTAGTGGTTATCCATAGTATAAAATGCAGAAGACTATCCTATCCAAACACTATTAGTACAAATCTTTCTTCTCGTTGAATTAAGCGAAAGTAGCTGTATATCTATCCTATTTTGCATATGCAGATATAAAATGGTCCTTCCTTTGTATCCCCTTTTTTTGTTTAGTCCTGTCAGAGATGGGTATTCCATTGGCATCTAAATACTATAGGTGCGTGAATTCAGCAAAACAATCCAACACAGTCCAGCAGTCCACGATAGTAGTGGGTTATCTGCAGAAGTTGTTGACTTGAGCCTTTCACAGCTCAACATATTAATATGGCTTTACTTTATATACCTCGCTTTTATACTTTTCTGCTGGATGGTTAAGACCAAGATAAAACAAGACCTGTATAATAAGAAATGTAACTTTTGTATCTGATAAGGTCAGTCAAGTACCCTCAGGATTTATCCTGTAACCCTGTACCACAGTTTGCAGATCCTTTGTCACTGTCAGCCATGTGGATGAGTCATGGCCATTGCTTGATGTAGGACAGATTCTTGAAATGGAATTTCTGGGTTAAGAAAATATTTCTCTCATTGCTATACCAGTATTTTGTTATACATGCTGAATTATTTTAAGTCTTAATTCTGGTCAAGCAAATTAACACATTTACTGTATAATCTTTTAGAAAACCAATAAATTAAAATATGAGAGACAAAAAGTTTATTTAAAACCTCATGTGATACTATTTTTATGACTTAAAATATGTAGTACAGTTATGATTCAATAATTGAAATTTATATGTTTCAAAGGGGCTTAGAAGAATAAAATTACAAATACGTTAGTATTAGCTATTTATATTCTGTGATGTAGCAGTAGCAGGATTTTAAAAGCTAGCATTACCGTTGTTACAGTAATCATGTGGATGTGTAAGTTTCTCAGGCCTGATTGTAGCTCTGCAGAAAGCAAAAGCCTGCCCAGCTTTTGTGCTTAAGGAATTTCAAGGGCAATAATGTGTTCTTGTGGATAGTGATTTTCATGATTTTACAGCTGAAAGGGATGAGATATAACCAAAATTTTGTTTCTTTGGTTACACACTGAGCATTAGGTTTTACTGGGCATGCAACAGAGAATGAGAGAGAGTTAAAACAGTTTTGTTTTT